CGCGCTGGCTGGTGGGCGGGGGGAGGCGGAGGGGGTGTGCCGTGCCGAAATAAAGAGGTCGGGGCGGAGGGGCGTGCCGCGCCGAAATAAAAGTGCCGGGGCGGAGGGACTCACTGGCTGGTTGGTGGGGATGTTGGGGTGCGTAGGGGGTGCGCCGTGCCGAAATAAAGGTGTCGGGGCGGAAGGATGTGCCGTGCCGCAATAAAGGGGTCGGGGCGGAGGGGCGCGCTGGCTGGCGGGCGGGGCGAGGCGGAGGAGGGCGCGCCGCGCCGAAATGAAGGCGTCGGGGCTGAGGGGTGCGCCGCGCCGAGATAAAAAGGTCGGGGCGGAAGGGGCGCACTGGCTGAAGGGGTCGGGGCGGAGGGGCGCGCTGGCTGGCGGGCGGGGGGAGGGGTGGGAGGGGGGTTGCCGAAGCCGAATAGATGGTCCGGGGCGGGGGTAAGGGTTAGGGGTGTGCGAGCGAAAATAAAGGGGTCGGGGCGGAGGGGCGCACTGCGGTGGGGGGGTTGGGTGGCGGAGGGGGGGGGCGTAGGGTGGTGGGTGCCGTGCCGAGTGCCGGAATGAAGGGGTCGGGCGGAGGGGTGTGCGCGCCGAAATGAGGGGTCGGGGGGGAGGGGCGCGCTGGCCTGGTGACGGGGGGGGGCGGAGGGGGGTGCCGGTGCCGAAAATAACACGAGGTCGGGGCGGAGGGGTGTGCCGTGTCGAAAGAAAGGGGTCGGGGCCGAGGGACGCACTGGCTGGTGGGAGGAGGGGTGGGGGAGGGGCGTAGCGGGGCGGAGGGGTGCGCCGTGCCGAGATAAAGGGGTCGGTGCGGAGGGGCGCGCTGGCTGGTGGGTGGGGGGAGGCGGAGGGGGTGTGCCGAGCCGAAATAAAGGGGTCGGGGCGGAGGGGTGTGCCGTGCCGAAATAAAGGGGTCAGGGAGGAGGGGCGCACTGGCTGGTGGGTGCTGGTGGGGGTCGGGGCGGAGGGGTGTGCCGTGCCGAAATAAAGGGGTCGGGGCGGAGGAGCGCATTGGCTGGTGGATTCTGGTGGGTGGGTGGATACGGGGGGGGGATGGAGGGTCGCGCTGGCTGGTGGAATTTGTAGGTGATGAGGGGTGTGCCGTGCCGAAATAAAGTAGTCGGAGCTCTAGACACCCTGCGCAAGAGAATAAAATCCTATAGTGTTCTGCTCCCCCAAGGCTGGCCGGGCGACCACTCCTTAGGGAAGTTGCAGCGTGAGGAGCATTCTCATGCCATCAGGAATCAGGACGCAGGAGGAGGATGAATAATATAAGGGGCATGCGCAGCAAGCACAGTGGCACAAGTCGAACCGGCGGGCGTCAAGTCCAATTGTGTTCAGTGCGAGGTTTCATTACGCGGCACTCGCAGTCGTCGTCCGCCGACGGGAGGACTTGCCTGCGGTTCGGCCTCGAGGTTCCGCCCGTTTTTCTACACGTCGCCGACACAGCCGCCGCCCCCCCTGCCCCACCGCACCCCTCAGGGGCAACGCTAGCAGCGGACAGGCTCAGGGTGAGACGCATCGACCTCGAATCCCCTATGGATCGCCGATGGGGCTCGATAGCCCACCCCGCCCAGGACCGTGCGGATTTGCTATCGGCGGCCTATCGACGATGCATATCCGATTCCACGGCGGTGCTTTCCCGTGAGCCAGTCCCCCCAATCGTTGCCCCTCAACTTCCCCAGGCCAAGATTTCCTCAGCACCCCGCCCCTCGTCCGACGTCGTCGTCGTCGTCGGCCCGTGCTGGCGCTGGCACTGGTGCTGGAGGAGGAGTGATCCAGCTCGCCACCGGCGTCGCCACGAAAAGTATGTCAATGCCTTGGTCAACAAATTCCTCCCCAGCGGCTGAAGAAAATTGTGCGTTGCCCTTCCAAACGGTTTTCTCGGAAACGTCATCCTATTTCACGCGCCCCCCCAGAGCCAGGAGATCAACAAGCGGCAAGAGCACGTTGCCGCGCTGAAGGCACGCAAGATGCTCCAGCGGCTCCACAGACCAGCCCTTCCGGACAACATCAGCAAGGCGCCCGCCTCCGTGCCTTGCCTGGCTGCCACCCTGCCTGGCTGCCCGGCCGCCTGCGTGCGCCCCTCCTTGCGCCAGTCCGCCCTCCTACCACCTCGCCTCCCCTCCCGCCTGCCACCGCGCCTGCCTCCCTGCGCTGCCTCTCTGCTTCTCTCACAACCAGAGGGCGTCATCCCCCCGTTCCGGGCCCCGGGCCCCTCACGCACGGGCCCGGGCCGAGGAGCGCCGCGCGAAGCTGGGGCCCTGCCGTGCTTTGCCGCGGCGTTGCATCTTTGCCCGCGGCATCGGCTCTCAGGGCCGCCGCCCTGCCTGCCTCGCCCGCCTGCCCGCCTGCCGGCGGGCCTCTCTGCCCGCCCTTCTGCCGCCCGCCGGCCCCGCCCCGCCCTCCCGCCCCGACTCGCCCCGGCTGCTCGCCCTGGGGCCCCGCCGGCAGATGGCGCCCTCGGGGGGACGCGAGGGGGGGGGGGGGTCTCGGGGGGGGCAGGCTTCGGGTTCGCGGCTCGAGGCCTTCGGACGCCTTCGTCGCTTCTCGGCGGCTTCTCCAGGCCCGGGGTGCGCCTCCGGCAGCTGCGCCTCGCCGTGGGCGCTCTGGGGGCGCCGGGTCGTCCTCGTTTTAGAGGTGGCCCGCCGATGTGGGCCCGATGGCTCGCCCCGCCCAGGAATTTACGGATTCGGCATCGGGGCGTCGGCGATGCATCGCCGACTCCATGTCGGTGCTTCCCCCCCCCCTTGAGCCAGTCCCCCCAGATCGTTGCCCCTCAACTCCCACGGGCGGGCCCGGAGCGTCATTGGGCCGTGCTTGGGCGCGGTAGTGCTGCGGGCGTGCCAAGCAGCGGGCGCGGTGGAGCGGGACACGCTAGATCTCAGCTTCGTTTATCCGACCCCCATCCCCATCCTCATCCCCTTCGAGGCCCCCACCAAATTACCACCCCAGTTGGGGATGCACCCCTCGAACCCTGAAGGGAACGGCACATGTCCCCATCGAACCCCATCCGGGAGGGTAAAGCGGCCAGTGGGGCCCAGGCCACGCCGCTGGGGACGGGGATCGGTTACGCGGTACTCAGGATCGCTGCCCCACCTCTCGCCAGGGCCTCTTCCCGTCCATCGCGGGCCGGCTGGCTGAGGCGCCTGTTGGCGGCGGGCCCTGCATGTCTCGTGGCGAGGCTTTCCCCGGTCAGGCGAGTCCGCTCTCAGCGGGCACGAGCTTCAGAGCTTCACTCTCGCGGCGGGCTCGGGTTCTGGACGTGGGGGGGGCTTCGCCCCGCACGCCGCCCTGCCGTGGCATCCCCGCCCGCGGGGTCGGGGTCTCTCGCGCGGGCGTGGAGGGACAGCGCGGTCGCATTGCTGAGCGGGGTCGAAGATGTTCCCGTATATCCGACAGTGTTTTTTGTTGGTTGATCCGGGAGTCGTTTTTCGATTTCGGCCCTCGGGGGGCCGGCTCCAGGCTCAGTCGTTTTCGGACATCGTCCACTGCCAGACGCTGCAACAGAGTAGTTTGCCTCCCGAGCATAGCGTGGTCGGGCCTGGATGCCCTGGTCCTCCCACGCGCAGAGATCGCACGTATTGATACGAGCTTCGCAAAGAACATGCGTTGCACGATGCTTGGAGCAGACCACTCAGTCGATTATATTGGCACCGGTTGTTAATTACCGGCATGGGAGATATTCATGGAGTGGGGGATCGCCCCCACCGCTTTAGAGCAATGCGTGCGCATACGCCCTGAGCAGAGAAGTGCAGCTCCACTGTCAGTTCCTTGCTGTTTTCTTTGGCCGCTGCACAATCGAAAACCAGATATCAGCTCAGGGCCTCCGCACTTCTGCTCCTACGTTGTCAGCCGACGGATCATTGAGGTCCGAGGGCACGGTGCACCCCTGGGCCCTCCAGGTACGAGCAGACCTCCAAAGTGCCCTTGAAGCCCCCGTCTTCGAGGATTAAACGAGTTTGGGAACATCCATTCAAAAATCAAGGAGTTATTTCAGAACCCCGAAGTGCAGGAGGCTTTCCAGAAGATTCTTAACTGTGGGCCACCGCCGCCAGGCGTGCGTGTCATAGTCTCGGGCCCACCCCGAACACGGAAGGCGTCTTTCTATTGACGGGTTTTTTTGGAGATCCCGATAGTGACCTTGAAGATCTTGTTCCGTTCGTCTGTAATTTCGAGGGTTGCACGAAGAATTCCCGCACATTTCCAGCACTCAGATCACATCAAGCCACTGCAGCACAACCAGGACATGGCATGAACACCATCCCCTCGACGATCACGATCGACAATAAATGCTTCGCATGTCGACACATTGGAAGGCAAATTTGTCGGTAGACAACGTGATGTTGACTTTCACACTGACGTTGATTTAGAGTCGTGGAGGGTAGCATGCGTAGCAGCAGACATGACAGCAGAGAGGACCCTCCAGGAAAACCACGGGGTCCAGTTTATGTGCGACTGACGTTCAGAGTCTCTCACTCGGGTTTCCTCCGTCGCCCCTCTTGTCGCTCGTCCCTCATTCCCTCTCTCCTTCGGCCTCGCCTCTCGTCCTCGCTTGTCGTGCGTCCCTCCCTCCCTTCATGCGTCCTTTCCCCTCCCTGGCTGCACCGCGCAGAAAAACACCATGGCGCCACGGCGCCCGCCTGCAGCCCCCCCGCCGGCGTACATTTCGCAGGTCCGAGTCCGAGTCCGAGTCCGCGTATATAGAACCACTCGGCATTGCCAATCTCATCATCGCCGTCCGTGGCTGCAGGGACGCTGTTTCGTCGATCGTAAACTACATGTGTAAACATAGATCTCGTCAGCATGCACCTGGTGCCCATTAGAGCACATCAGTGCAGCTGTAGATCGCCAGCGTTGCACACAAGATCCAAGGGAGCTCAGAGCACATCTCCGCACGCACATCCCTCCGTCGCCACGTGGCCCTTGGCTTAAAACAGTCACGCCCTCTGCGCGGATGGCAGATCGACAAGGCGAGCCTGTCAAGCCGCCATCTTTACCAGCACTGATTTGGAAGCCCGCTGATACTGCCCAATTTCGACGTGAAGTGCGACTGGCAGCTGGCCGACGACTTGGTATTGCTCGCACTATTCTGTCAGCAACTACACGACCGAAATTGACCACGCCGAAGGCGTTTCGGTGCACAAATGAGCATGACATCGTACAGTACGAGTTCAGCTACGCGCTCGGCACTTCCGTCGACGCCTGCCCTCCCTCAAGCGTGCTGAACCATTACCTGCAGAAAATAACAGGGACAGACGGCACCGCCGATGGAGAGGAGACGCGCGGCGCGGAGAAGCCCGCTACCGTCTTCGAACAAGTCTGACAACTCCGGCATAGGCTCCAAGAACAGCGAACCCCCAACCAGACGCCAGGAAGTGACGGGCACCCGACAGGGCGTGGACGAAGCGGAGGCCGACGAGCACATGAACGACGCCGAGAAGGAGGGGGAGGACAGCACGGAAGAACCACGCCGAGCCAACCGTCGCGGGAGACGGACGTCGAGCACACGGAGGCCACCATGCGGGCAAGACTTGGACCAGCAAAGACAAGATCTCTCAGGTCTTCTCGATGTCGCTCATGACCCTCACTCTACAGAACGCTCAGAAGATCAGATTGATCATGTGCTCCGTGGCCGACACCCGGACCTTGGAGACGACCCACCCGCTGTTCGCCCACGCCAGCGACGAGCTGGAGGGCTTCCGCAAGCGAGTCAACGGTTTCAAGACGCTGCGACGTTGGCGACTCTGGTAGGCTCGGCCACTTGCGAGGTCGTCGGCAGGGCGCACAAGCAGATCAACGACTACCTGGAGGAGCGCCAGCCGACCGACGAGCAGGTCGAACCTACGTTGGGCGCGGAGCAACTCATCTCCCAGGCCCCCATCAGAATCGAGAAGACACGCGACAGCAACATCGCCAAGCTGGCGATCGGCGCGCACGAGCGGCCAGCTCGCCGATCCGCGATCGACGGCCCCGGGGCCGAGGACAAAGCTCGCCCTCGCGCGGGCCCCGCACCCGTTGGCTGGGTGGAGGTGGAGATCCCGGTCCGACTGGAGCAATTCAGACGGATCGCAAGATGAAGTTCACAGCGGGCGAGATCCTCTCAGGCACTGGCAGCGCGCCATCATCGGCACCAGCCGCCTGCGACTCGCTTCTGCAGACGCTGCGCGCTCCGATGATAGCGACGAGCCCCCCTTCGCCCACGCGGAGGATGAGTTCCGGCCGACGAGAACGCAGTCAATTCTGTCTTGCCGAAGTTTTCGCAGGCCCGCCCCCCACGCCCGATCGGCCACAGTTGCTGGCCCCCACTTTTCCCCCCCAATTCCAACGTCTCTCCATTCGCCCCCCACTCGCAAAGCAAATGGGCAGATCATCCAGTTTTGGCCCCCCTGCCACGGCGACGCTGCGAAGGCCTAACACGAAGAGACTTCTGGCACTCCCCGGGAAGGTCAAGAAGTTGCAGGCTTCCTGCGCCGCCCCGCTCGACTGCCCGCCGATAGCGAGCCGCACCGCGGCAGCGCGCGGCCGCGCAGGCGAGGGGCAGCGCCCGCGCGGGCCGCTGCAGCGACGAGCACGCGTGTATAATTCTTACGTGGCCAGAGGTGGCGCCGCCCGAGGCCGCGGCGTCGCGCGCCGCGGTTGATCGCCGCGCGCGGTTTAAAATCCATCGCAGCAAGTTTCAGACGCGCAGGCCCATTCGTTTGCTCCGTTGTCGTCGGACGAAAGTAGCCCTTCAGGGGGGCGGCCGGGTTTTCTGGGCCCGCGCATTGGGGCGAAACCTACATGAATGAGATGCGCGGGATTGCGCCTGGCCCAAAAGCGCTCGGTCGCAGGTCGGGGCGCCGATGGCGCCACCAGCTTTCGGGGGCGCCCTCTTCTGTCAGCGATTCACGGGCGGCGTCGCGGGCCGGGCGCCGCCTCCGCCCGCGGGGCCGGCGGGCAGGCCCCCCCCCCGCGCATGCGTCGGTCGCTGCCAGACGCGCCCCGGGCCGCGGGGAGGTCGCCGCGGCGGGCTGGGCGC